TTTAGAACTATGCTCGGTGTAGGAGGGCTAAATTACAGTTTAACAAACAGATAAAACAACTGAGAAGGTTATTGCAAAATACTGTGTCTAGCTACTCTTTATTTGTCATTTTTGTCTCACTGAAACTGCAATTGCTTTCTGTTGCACGTATGCTGGTTATGATAAATCTTAATTTACTTTCTAGAGTAAAGAAGAGGGAAAACATCACATTCAGCACAACACAATAGAAATGCAATAAACGAGAGTGATATTTGATGTAATAAACTTGTTCCCTAGTGATTTAGGAAATATGAAGACAATTGTCCTTTTTGTGCCAGGTCATAGAAATCTGGTTATGTCTGCTATTCTGTTCCAAGTAGAACCTAAAGGGATCGTACTGAGATAAATCTTTGTTAGAAACACAGATTGGGTCTGCTTTTGTTGAGGTGTTTAAATTTCTTTTTTCAGGATCTCAAGGCTTTGAAGTTGAAAATTAAGAAAGAGTTTGAAGAGATGCAGTCACAGTTTCAAGGATTTTTTTATGACATTGGTATGAATAACCATTAACTTTCCAGTTTTTTTTTTTTTTTTAAACCTCATAGTTGGCAAAATACGACTTAATTGCTTTTCTTTGCTTACTTTCAATGGCTACATCTCCTCACTATAAAAGGGGATGCATGTTGCTTGAGTTAATGAGACAAACATCCCAATGATTTTAAACTTCATCTTTCTGTTACTTAGCTTTTGGGGTTGGTGGGATGACTTTCTAGAAAATAAAAATTAATGAGGAGATGGTCAGATTAAAGAAATGTATCAGTGTTTTAAGAGGTGAATTTCTATTCTGTACCTGTCTATACAAAATGATATTTGCTTCTGAAAACTATGTTAAGAGTCCTGTGCTATGTTGCTTCATCAATTCAGGAAGTCAAATACAGGAGATGTCAACTAAAGCTATAGGATATCACAGAGTAGTAGAAGAGAATAGGAAACTATACAATATGGTCCAAGATTTGAAAGGTTGAGATACACTTAGTTTTGATTATTTTTAATGTATAATGTCACTTTATTTTTGTGTACTCTTGACAATAAGCTAGTTTTGAACTCAGGTAATATTCGAGTTTACTGCAGAATCAGGCCATCATTCCGGGCTGAATCAAGGAATATTGTTGATTTCATCGGGGAAGATGGTTCTCTATTCATTTTAGATCCATCAAAAACACTGAAAGATGGAAGGAAACTTTTTCAGTTTAATCGTGTTTTTGGTCCAACAGCTGGCCAAGGTAGAGTTCCGGAAACCAATAGTATTTTGAACCAGTGTGACTACCTTTTTCTTTTACCATCTCTTTGTTGAAATTTACCGATTTGTACTCAGATGAGGTTTACAAAGATACTCAACCATTGATTAGATCTGTGATGGATGGATACAATGTTTGTATTTTTGCTTATGGTCAAACTGGATCTGGGAAGACTCACACCATGGTAAGATACTGAATATCACTCTGCTATGTGTTAGTTTTAATTGATTTTAAAAGAAGAAAACCAATATGAAAATTGCATTTCAGATAGGAAATAAACTAATATTGCATTACTATCCTGGTCACTGGTCAATGCAAGAACCTGCAACGACTGTTCATTATATTTGCAGACTGAAAACCTAGATGATTCAATATATTTCTTTTTTGCTGCAGAGTGGTCCATCAAGTGGAACATTTAAGGATATGGGAATCAATTATCTGGCTCTTAAAGATCTGTTTCAAATGTCTAATGAAAGGAATGACATCATAAGTTATGACATTTATGTTCAAATGGTTGAGATTTACAATGAACAAGTTAGAGATCTACTTGCAGAAGACAAAACTGACAACAAATATCCTTTTCACATTCATTATTCCATACATTTTCGCACTGTTCTAAAGAAATAAGCTAGAGCAGGTTTTATTATAGTCTGTTGATCTTAATATTTGTAAACAATTTTTCTCCTTAACTAAACCTTAAATTAGAAATCCGGAGCTGCAATGATGACGGATTGAGCCTTCCAGATGCTAAATTGCGCCCTGTGAAGTCTACAACTGATGTTATGACCCTCATGAAACTTGGTGAGGTTAATCGCTCTGTCAGTTCGACTGCAATGAACAACAGGAGTAGTCGTTCTCACAGGTGAATTTGTGCTTTTCTTATATATACATAAATACATACACACACACACACACACACACACACACATATATATATATATATATATATTATCTGGGGTTGTTTGAGACACTGATAAGGCTGATCAACGTGTCTCAGTGTACTTACTGTGCATGTTCATGGCAAAGATACATCTGGGAACTCCATTCGCAGTTGCTTGCACTTGGTAGACCTAGCTGGAAGTGAACGAGTAGACAAGTCTGAAGTTACAGGGGATAGACTAAAGGAAGCACAATTTATTAACAAATCTCTTTCCTGTTTGGGAGATGTGATCACAGCCCTGGCTCAAAAGAATTCTCACATACCTTACAGGAACAGCAAACTCACTCTTCTTTTGCAAGATTCCTTAGGTGCATGCTAATATCATATCATTTTCATTCTCTCTTCCAATTCCAGCTTTTTCTCTGTTGTAGAATTCCAATTGTAGCGTTAGATGATGTCACAGAAAAGCTTTGGAGACTCTACTTTTATTTTTATAACCATGACTGAATGTTTGTTAGTAATGCATTTTCTGTTGCAAATTTTGCATTAGGTGGACATGCAAAAACATTGATGTTTGCTCATGTGAGTCCGGAAGCAGATTCCTTTGGTGAAACAGTGAGTACTTTAAAGTTTGCTCAGAGGGTTTCCACTGTGGAACTGGGGGCAGCCCGTTTGAACAAAGAAAGCAGTGAGGTTATGCAACTTAAAGAACAGGTTAGAATGTAACTTTGTGGCACAATTTTTTTCTAACTTCTATGCATGCTTTGACCTAACTTTTCTTAAGCCTGAGAATTAGACCCTCACTAGTATCATTGAAATATGAAAGAGTTTAAGTGTTGAGAGTCACTCTGTTCTAAAATCAAATGAAGTCAAAGTGGTTGAGTTTTCCTTTATTTTACATGAATAGGTTGAGAACCTTAAGATTGCATTGGCAACCAAGGACGCTCAGAGAATGTTCCAAAGGAATAGAGAGCCATACACTCCATCAGAGAAAACTCCATTGCCCTCTCGGAGACTTAGCATTGAGAACTGCCCCGATAAATCTGTGAGTCGAGAGGATAAAAGTGGAGTTAAATCACCACTTTTGTTACCTCGTTCCAGAAGATTAAGTTTGGAAGGTCCAAAATCTATCAAGAAAGATGGTCTACAGTATGAGCCTGTATCTATGCAGAAATATCGCCCAATGCAGGATGTAGAGGCCGTGTCCAAACTAAATGGCCAGTTCAGCAGTGGCAATTCCAAGTCAGAGTTGCATGCCAAAACCCCTCGAAGTCCTACAAGCATTTCCTATCAAACGAGATTGATAAAATTAAATGATGGCATGCAAGTTCATCCTATTAAACTGCCTCAAACACCTGAACCACCTGTTCGGGATGGAAATGATGCACATGCCTATAAGGTGATGGGTAGCACAAATGGCAAAGGATCCCAAATAAGAAGATCCTTGAGAACAATTGGGAAACTGATCAATGGCCCTGATAAGAGGTGTGTTATAACTGTTAACTTATATGAGAAGTTTTCTATAAGAAGTCAAGTGTATATAAATTGATCTTAACTTATGGATAAGTTTAATTCTTTTAGTTTCTAATTTTTCTTTTCTGGAAGTGTTTATGAAAATTATCCATATGTGACCTTAATCTATGAAAATATGCAGGAGCCAACAAGTTGAAGTGAAGTCACCCATCAAGGGTACTGGCCATAGAAATAATGTAAAATCACCCATCAGGGGCACTGGCTATACAAATAATGTAAAATCACCAATTTCAGCTGTTGAGAAAACGAAGAGAAGACAATCTCTAACAGGGATTCAAGCACCACTGCCAAACAACTCACGTAGATCTTCACTTGGAGGAAAGCCAGTAGCAGCATGTAAGTTAAACCTATAGAACTGCTATTTTACATTGAGATCCATGACGCTGTTATTCATAATACTAAGACAATAGTTTTGTGTCATATATGAAGACGACGACAAGGAGAGAAATGCTAGAACTCCTCCTCCAAATCCTCATTCAGACACCAAGACTTCAAAACGGTGGCTGTAGATCAGTGACAGTGCTGCTTCGACTTGAAGCATACCAACTTTTCTGACATAGTTTAGAACAAGCTCCACTTTGGTGGGAGAGTTTTGGTTTCATGATCAAGTTAACATCACTGTAAAAAATGTCTCCAAGTATTTAAGTCTTTTTCCAAAGGGTCTTTCTTGTAATTACAAAAAATCAAGAAACTCAAAAAATGAAATCGAAATTTTTTTAAGCTCGTGCATGTCTTAAGAGTTCTTCTTTACTCTAGCAACAAATGGTGGTCTTGAACACATCAATGACTCAGAACACTGTTTATGAACGTAAATGGTAATAATTTTAAGACATCATAGTATGGTGGGAAAGTTTTGTAAGTAGTTTGGAGCCCAATTCCAGTTGCCCACATGGGTGGAGTCTTGGAGTAGAGAGGACTATCATGTGATAACATGACAAGTTGAGTCATTTTCCCTCTAGAAGATAGAAAACTAAAAAAATGGACCATGAACAACCTAATTTTTCCCAATGAAATAGGAAAAGATAGGATTAGAGACAGAGAAACACAGGAGTAAAATCCTTTATGAAATTGCATTATATTAAGTACTTTATGAAATTGCATTATATCCAAATATCCTTTTTTCTTTCATAAAATATTAGAATTGTGTTATTAATTACAATGGGATTCTCTCACCATAATTTCATAGGAAAAGGTATTAGAATAGTTCCCATTTACATCAATTCATTCATAATTTCATAATTATCCTTGTAATCATTTAATACTTTTTTTAGAAAAAGTGTATATAAAAATTGAATATTTTTATTATNCAGCCCTGGCTCAAAAGAATTCTCACATACCTTACAGGAACAGCAAACTCACTCTTCTTTTGCAAGATTCCTTAGGTGCATGCTAATATCATATCATTTTCATTCTCTCTTCCAATTCCAGCTTTTTCTCTGTTGTAGAATTCCAATTGTAGCGTTAGATGATGTCACAGAAAAGCTTTGGAGACTCTACTTTTATTTTTATAACCATGACTGAATGTTTGTTAGTAATGCATTTTCTGTTGCAAATTTTGCATTAGGTGGACATGCAAAAACATTGATGTTTGCTCATGTGAGTCCGGAAGCAGATTCCTTTGGTGAAACAGTGAGTACTTTAAAGTTTGCTCAGAGGGTTTCCACTGTGGAACTGGGGGCAGCCCGTTTGAACAAAGAAAGCAGTGAGGTTATGCAACTTAAAGAACAGGTTAGAATGTAACTTTGTGGCACAATTTTTTTCTAACTTCTATGCATGCTTTGACCTAACTTTTCTTAAGCCTGAGAATTAGACCCTCACTAGTATCATTGAAATATGAAAGAGTTTAAGTGTTGAGAGTCACTCTGTTCTAAAATCAAATGAAGTCAAAGTGGTTGAGTTTTCCTTTATTTTACATGAATAGGTTGAGAACCTTAAGATTGCATTGGCAACCAAGGACGCTCAGAGAATGTTCCAAAGGAATAGAGAGCCATACACTCCATCAGAGAAAACTCCATTGCCCTCTCGGAGACTTAGCATTGAGAACTGCCCCGATAAATCTGTGAGTCGAGAGGATAAAAGTGGAGTTAAATCACCACTTTTGTTACCTCGTTCCAGAAGATTAAGTTTGGAAGGTCCAAAATCTATCAAGAAAGATGGTCTACAGTATGAGCCTGTATCTATGCAGAAATATCGCCCAATGCAGGATGTAGAGGCCGTGTCCAAACTAAATGGCCAGTTCAGCAGTGGCAATTCCAAGTCAGAGTTGCATGCCAAAACCCCTCGAAGTCCTACAAGCATTTCCTATCAAACGAGATTGATAAAATTAAATGATGGCATGCAAGTTCATCCTATTAAACTGCCTCAAACACCTGAACCACCTGTTCGGGATGGAAATGATGCACATGCCTCTAAGGTGATGGGTAGCACAAATGGCAAAGGATCCCAAATAAGAAGATCCTTGAGAACAATTGGGAAACTGATCAATGGCCCTGATAAGAGGTGTGTTATAACTGTTAACTTATATGAGAAGTTTTCTATAAGAAGTCAAGTGTATATAAATTGATCTTAACTTATGGATAAGTTTAATTCTTTTAGTTTCTTATTTTTCTTTTCTGGAAGTGTTTATGAAGATTATCCATATGTGACCTTAATCTATGAAAATATGCAGGAGCCAACAAGTTGAAGTGAAGTCACCCATCAAGGGTACTGGCCATAGAAATAATGTAAAATCACCCATCAGGGGCACTGGCTATACAAATAATGTAAAATCACCAATTTCAGCTGTTGAGAAAACGAAGAGAAGACAATCTCTAACAGGGATTCAAGCACCACTGCCAAACAACTCACGTAGATCTTCACTTGGAGGAAAGCCAGTAGCAGCATGTAAGTTAAACCTATAGAACTGCTATTTTACATTGAGATCCATGACGCTGTTATTCATAATACTAAGACAATAGTTTTGTGTCATATATGAAGACGACGACAAGGAGAGAAATGCTAGAACTCCTCCTCCAAATCCTCATTCAGACACCAAGACTTCAAAACGGTGGCTGTAGATCAGTGACAGTGCTGCTTCGACTTGAAGCATACCAACTTTTCTGACATAGTTTAGAACAAGCTCCACTTTGGTGGGAGAGTTTTGGTTTCATGATCAAGTTAACATCACTGTAAAAAATGTCTCCAAGTATTTAAGTCTTTTTCCAAAGGGTCTTTCTTGTAATTACAAAAAATCAAGAAACTCAAAAAATGAAATCGAAATTTTTTTAAGCTCGTGCATGTCTTAAGAGTTCTTCTTTACTCTAGCAACAAATGGTGGTCTTGAACACATCAATGACTCAGAACACTGTTTATGAACGTAAATGGTAATAATTTTAAGACATCATAGTATGGTGGGAAAGTTTTGTAAGTAGTTTGGAGCCCAATTCCAGTTGCCCACATGGGTGGAGTCTTGGAGTAGAGAGGACTATCATGTGATAACATGACAAGTTGAGTCATTTTCCCTCTAGAAGATAGAAAACTAAAAAAATGGACCATGAACAACCTAATTTTTCCCAATGAAATAGGAAAAGATAGGATTAGAGACAGAGAAACACAGGAGTAAAATCCTTTATGAAATTGCATTATATTAAGTACTTTATGAAATTGCATTATATCCAAATATCCTTTTTTCTTTCATAAAATATTAGAATTGTGTTATTAATTACAATGGGATTCTCTCACCATAATTTCATAGGAAAAGGTATTAGAATAGTTCCCATTTACATCAATTCATTCATAATTTCATAATTATCCTTGTAATCATTTAATACTTTTTTTAGAAAAAGTGTATATAAAAATTGAATATTTTTATTATATATGTATGTATGTATGTCTTCCAATTTTACTATAGTTCAACAAATTGAGTGGATAAGTAAAGTTGTAAAACAAACAATTTAATATAAATGACCATCTATGTTTATTTGAAAAGAATAATTTTTTAGAATGATGCATGGGGGATATTCACTCCAAAGTCACATGAACAAATTTGTAAGCGAGTATGACATAATTTTTAATAAAAAAAATTATGTGACTTTCAAGTCATAATAGTTTACCGTGAAGTGAGTTAAATTTTATCATTTATTTTTACTACAATAATATATTTGTCTCTCATTCATCCCGACACATTCTTGTTCAGATTTTAATATTAAGTCAAGGAATTATTTTCGTTCAAAAAGGTAAAAGGTTAAATAATAATTCAAATAATTTTAAATAAAAATATATATTTTTAAAGTTTAAAATATTAATAAAACTCATTTTCATTTTAGATATATCATCATTTAATATATAAATTATAACACATTGATATATTCTAATAAAATATTTTTTAATACTTTTATTTTTAAAATATGATTATTAATTTATAAAATAGGTTGACCATAAACTTAAATCTATTTAAATTGTGTACTATGGATGGGAAAGAAAATAGTATGTTAGTCCACAGTTTTCTTTTAATTTGATTTAACTTTTTTATATAACTTTTCATATATCTATTAATGAATATTGAAAACAAGATAAAATGAGTAAAACAAGTTAGACTCTATTAATGGACTTTTGTATCACTGCTTTTGTCTATAATAATTTCTCTCAGGAAAAACATTAAAAAAAATTGGTAAAAAACCCTACAATTGTGATTAAAACCTTCATCATACTTTGCCTCAGTAAATACTGAGAAAAATCAGTGAAATTACAAATCATTCAACTAAAATCTGTTCCAAATCACCTGACTGAAAGACATAGTTAAACCTGCAAATCCATATATTAGTTATTTCAATACAAATTATAGTACAAAATGTGTATTTTTTATAACAATAGTGTAGCAACAAACAATGCATGTTTTGAGCTGCCCCAGCATAGTTTATTACCGTTAGTGGTCCCCACTGAATCTACTCAACATGTCACATGTCCACAATGGAGTTTCCATGCTGAGATCCAATAATGACTGCAACAACAGAAGAATCATCACGTGCTCAAATGCAACTACGTAGGGTATAACGTTACCACCATACACAACTATTTCAAGAACAACATAGTTCCTTGTTACTGGTACAACATATATCTGTGATGCACTTCTGTAACACTTCAAGCATTGTCACCTTCAACTTTGTATCATTAGATACACATTATTACATATTCTCTTCATGAACCAACGTGTCAGGTAATTAGCCTTAGAAATTAAGAAAAAAAAAACACTATTTTTTGTCCAAGTTTAGGTTCCATCCGTACGTGGCAGGGTTGGATGTTAACTCTATATCAAATAGGTGGCAGCTTTGCACTGCTGTTATTAGCTTTCTTGGATTCCCCTTTGCTCTTTTTCTATATGTTATCTCCAAAAGATTTTAACTTTGGAACATGACATGTTTGAATTTTATAAATCACAAGAAAAAAATACATCTTAAGACTTGATTATATGTGATAAAAAAATACTTGAAACCCAGATAGCCCAGAGTATTAACACCAAAAGATTCTCACCCTAGAAATTTTGGTATAGTCAACATTAACATTTAAAACCACCATTGGATGATTGAATGTGAAGTGACCAATGTTTAGATAAACTTTTTTCACACAAAAGTGAGGGAATCACAAATTATAGCTTTTACTTACACATCTCGGTATACATTTCTATATGTTTGCTGTATACAACAGGTCGCACTATGAACTTTGCAGGTTGCCTTGATAAGTATGATCAATCTTTTAGAAAAAACAAAACCACTTTACACATTAAAGAATGAATATGGTTGATTGAAATTCACAATGGTTGGTGCTGAAGATTGAGTTTTGATTTGGAGAGTGTATTCTCATAAGCTCGATGCAACCTTTTTCTGAATCTTCCGAGGTCTAATATGACATTTTGGCTGTCAAGATAGATCTTTTTTGTGTATTCCCACCCCTTCTTGTTAATGCTTGTAGGGTCTCTTAGAATAGGATCATTTTTATCATATTTCTCATATAATGTGCTCTCTTTAGGATGAATTTCATAACCAATGTATTTCAAGCCAAGCTTCCTTGCAGGTTCTCCGTAATAAGTTTCTGCTGCCCATGTAGTTCCAAGAGGAACAACTTGTATAAACACAGAGCCAGGTCTCAAAAACATAAAATGAGTCATTGCTGCTCCATGAACACCAATCATGACATCACTTGCATTAAGAGTCCTATAAATCTTGGCCATTTCTGTTGTGCTGTCTGGTTTTAAGACTTTCACCATAAACCCAATTTCCTTCGCCATCTTCACCAACAAATTCTCATTGGTTATGGCTCTTGACCCACTTCTAGAAAGAATAACCAACTTTGGCTTTTTCATTGGATTTTCTTGCACTTGTTGCTCAATATACTGTTGTTCAGAGGTTTCTGATGATTGAGATGAAGAGATTTGTTGTTCTCTTGATTGCTCTTGTGCTTTTCTTTCCTCCTTTTGAATCAAACCCCTGATCCTAGGCCAATAAGCTTGGTCCAAAAGGTTTCTAAAATCAACGATGCTCTTGTTACCCTTCATCAATGCAGAATCCACAGTTAGCTCATCATGGATTCTGAGACCAACTATGGCTTCTGGAAAGCAATGAGTTCTATTGTCTCCTCTAAAATCAATTGGTGGAAAATCAGACAGCCGAGAAAGAATGTCCCCGTACTTCATGATCCACCAACTATGATATTCAAGAATCACAAACACGACCTTCTTCTTGAAATGCTGTGAAGTAATGTACAAGGGTATGATTCCATCATTGAATTCGTGATAAACATTGCCAGTGTAGCCCCCATTAGAGAAGAACACTGCTGGAACATCGTGTTGGACATCGCAACCACCAACATCATTTACCTTCTTTGAGATAAGGTTCAATTCATCAATGGTCTTCATAACACTTGTCTCCCATTTTCGAGTATATGGCTTGATCTTTTCGTGTTGGAGTTCCTCTCCAACAGAAACATTATCACTGCTCCTCCGATTGTAGAGTAATATCGAAGATGAAGCAGAGTGTGTTCTTACATCACCTTTCATCACACACACATCAGAACGAAAACCACTTCTATCACAGCAAATAGTTCCTGCGTTACCAAAAGAGAACAAAAAAAAAATTATTCGGAGAAAATAACACGAAAACAACAAAACAAGCATAAATTTCCAAAATTTATCATTAAAAAAATCAATCATGAACACGAACTTTTTCAGTAAAACACACAAATTCCATTACTTGGTCAGGTGAATTTAGTTAGCCATAAACTAAACCAAGTAAAATCCAGGGGACTACCCTTTTTCAATGATTATGTTTGGTCATCAACGTAAAAATACAAACAAACACCACAAGCAAACAAAAAGAAGGACTAGTTAGAAGGACAGAGAACAGGAATATTACTCACCAGCAGAAACAGAAGAGCAAGTAGAATCATTTACATCAACCCCATCCGAGTTCCCATGACTTGGAATCGCGGGAGAGTCTGAAAAGAAGAAAAGAGGATCAGCACAAAGAGAAACCAACAACAGAGCCAAAAAAAAGAAGGGAAAACCTTGAGAGATTAAGCTGGGTGGTTGCTTACACAAGTGAGAGAAAGAAAAGGAGGTGGGAAGGAAAAGAGGAGCGAAGACGTAGCAGCAAGAGAGGAAGGTGATGAGAAGGAGAAAAGACAAGAGCTTTGGCCTGGTTCTCTTGATGTAGTAGGAAGAGGTTGAGCAATCCAAGGTGATGATGGTGTGAGAGTCTTCATCTCTGGTGGAGTCTGCATTAGGCTTTCTGGGTTGATGGGAGCGGTGATAGTGTACCATGATGTTGTCAAAGCAAAGCTACAGTCTTTATTCTGTCGTTTGGTGGTATGAAGAAGTTGAGAGAGAGGGAAAAACTTAAAAAGTTGAAATGGGTGCACAACAACACAAAACAAGAACAGAAAAAGTGGGAAGATGAAGAAGGCAAAAGAAAAACAGTGTGTTAGGCAAATGGTATCTGTTTGTTTGTTGAGAGAGAAGATGAAGATGAAGAAAAAGGTGGTTTGGTTTTGATGGTATGAGGAAGAGAGAGGGAGGGAATGAAAGAAAGGAATAAAAGGAAAGAGAAGAGAGGCGTGAAAAGGAAGGATTGTGGGTGGAAAAACGAGTTAGAAAGAAAGAAAGAAAGATGAAATGTTTGATTTGGTAAGGAAAGTGAGAGGCTGGTTTTGGCTGGCTGTGGTAGGAGCTAATCTGGCAGGCAACAGTCAACTTCGTCAGCCGCGTCTGAATAAGAACACGCCGTTACCTAGGAGGCTTCT